AACATAACATACCAGGATGACTCGGAGTATTGGAAAACACATACGTACAGCATAATGATATCAACAGAGAAAAGTCAGTTGATCAAATGAAAAATGCTGGCCCCACAGGATGCTCCAACTTCATCCGGTACCCGTACTTGTATGTTTCATAACAATAAAATGCTTTCAAAATGAGCTGATGTAGGTAACAGCTCTTAGCTTGCCATTAAAGTTAGGAATCCTTAACCTGTAATTATAGCTGTCAATAACGCTGGGATCCTTAACCTTTTCAAAACCCAGTGTAAAAAAAAAAAAAAAAAAAAAAAAACAAGGAGAGAGAGAGAGGAGAGAGAGGGGAGAGGGGGAGAGAGAGGAGGGGGAGAGAGGGGGAGAAAGGAGGGGGAGGTGAGAGAGAGGAGGGGGAGAGAGAGAGGGGGAGAGAGAGATAGGGGGAGAGGAGAGGGGGGAGGAGAGAGGGGGAGAGAGGGGGGAGAGAGAGCACGGGGGTAGAGAGACGAGAGGGGGAGAGAGAGAGATGAGAGGGGGAGAGAGAGAGGGAGAGGAGAGAGAGGGGGGAGAGAGAGAGGGGGAGAGAGAGAGGGGGAAGAGAGAGAGATGGGGAGAGTGGAGAGAGGAGAGAGAGAGAGAGGAGAGAGAGAGAGGAGAGAGATGAGAGAGGAGAAGGAGAGAGAAGAGAGAGATTGAGCGAGAGAGAGGAGAGAGAGAGAGAGAGGGAGAGAGAGGGAGGGAGAGAGAGGGAGAGAGAGGGAGAGGGCGAGGGGGATGAGAGAGGAGAGGGAGAGGGAGAGAGAGGGGAGAGGGAGAGGGAAGAGGGAGAGGAGAGAGAGAGGGAGAGGGAGAGAGGAGGGAAAGGGAGAGGAGAAGGAGAGGGAGCAGAGAGGAGAGGGAGGGAGTGGGAGGGAGGTGAGGGAGAAGAGGGAGAGGAGAGAGGGAGAGAGAGAGAGGGAGAGAGAGAGAGAGGGAGAGAGAGAGAGGGGGAGAAGAGAGAGGGGGAGATGAGAGAGAGGGAGAGAAGAGAGGAGGGGAAGAGAGAAGAGAGAGGGAGCGAGAGTAGAGGGGAGAGAGAGAGGGAGAGAGAGGAGAGAGAGAGAGGGAAGGAGGAGATATAGGAGCGGAGAGAGAAGAGAGAAGAGAGAGAGAGAAGAGAGAGGAGGAGAGAGGGAGAGAGGAGAGAGAGAGAGAGAGGGAGAGAGAGAGAGAGAGAGATAGGGGAGAGAGAGAGAGGGAGGAGAGGAGAGAGGGAGGAGAGAGAGGGAGAGCGCGGGAGGAGAGGGGAGGAGAGGGCGAGAGAGGGAGGAGAGAGGGAGAGAGAGGCGAGAGAGAGGGAGAAGAGAGGGAGAGAGAGGAGGAGAGGGAGAGAGAGAGAGAGAGGAGAGAGAGCGAGGAAGAGAGGGATGGAGAGAGAGAGGAGGGAGAGAGAGAGGAGGAGAGAGGAGAGAGAGAGAGAGAGAGAGGGGGATGGGTTATAGTATTTATGGGGTAAGCATACCCAGCTACACTAAATATACATCTTTTAACTCAAAGACTGTCTCCTGCCAAGGCAGGGTAACCCATAGAAGAAAACACATTCACCAACATTCACTCAATGAGAGTGTTTCCAGAAGTGTGCTTATATAAGAATGAGATGATCGTGAGGCTGCAGCATCCCCACTCCTCCTTCAGTGTGAATAAAAGATTGGAAAACTAAGAGAATAGGTTTAATTCAGCAGTTCATCCACTTTGTTACAGATATTAATACATGTTTATATTCTTTCTAAACAAACGACCCTTTTTAATAAGATTCTTTAAAATAATAATCATTATAAGACTAAGTATATTTAAGACATTTGTCCTTATTCTTGACTAGATGACTACTACTTTTTTTTTTTTGAAAACAATAATTTATATTAGGATGTTGTCTTTTTTTTTAAGGAGGGGAAGACGAGATATCCAAACAGCCCATTTAGATTAGGCATCATACATATTTTTATGTATCATGTCACTTGATGTACCTTTTAAAAAATACTATCATCTATATATTGTATAATGAAACATTTAACAACTTTTCAGACAAAAGCATTTTCTTGGTTATAGATACAAAATACATTCAGGAACACTAGAGATTCGAAAGGATGATCTCATCGGATAATACTCCATCCCACTTCATGCAAACAAGATTCTCAAATTTACAGCATTAATAACCCATGTATTTGCTTAACTTTCAAACATTATCATCAAATCTTTAACTTCTAGCTCAGTGGTAAAGCATTTGCACAGGTGTCCTTACACCTTGCTGCTCCTGTTCATCCATTAGAATGCTGCAAGTCACGGCCTTAGGAAAAGGACCAAAATACTACCCAATGGAATATGACACGTGTATGGACTTTCTTGTTTTTTTTTTTAAACAAAACCGGCCGTTTTATCCCCAAGGCCGGGTGGCCTAAAAGAAAATGAAAGTTTCTCTTTTTAAATTTAGTAATTTATACAGGAGAAGGGGTTACTAGCCCCTTGCTCCCGGCATTTCAGTCGCCTCTTACAACACGCATGGCTTACGGAGGAAGAATTCTGTTCCACTTCCCCATGGAGATAAGAGGAAATAAACAAGAACAAGAACTAGTAAGAAAATAGAAGAAAACCCAGAGGGGTGTATATATATACGCTTGTATATGTATGTGTAGTGTGACCTAAGTGCAAGCAGAAGTAGCAAGACGTACCTGAAATCTTGCATGTTTATGAGAGACAAAAAAGACACCAGCAATCCTACTTTACAGGTTTCCCTTTTATACTCACTTGGCAGGACAGTAGTACCTCTCTGGGTGGTTGCTGTCTACCAACCTACTACCTGTACTTTCTTGGGTTATCCTGGGTTAATTATTTTCAGAGTTAATAATTCAAGTCTCATTCTTCTGAATTATTTTTTCAACACGCAGGCCGTCTCCCACTGAGGCAGTGTGACCCAAAAAAACAAAACACTTTCACTATCATTTCACACTATCACTGTCTTGCCAGAGGTGTACAGATATTATTATTATTATTATTATTATTATTATTATTATTATTATTATTAACACATCGGCCGTTTCCCACCAAGGCAGGGTGGGCTGAAAAAGAAAAACTTTCATCATCACTCACTCCATCACTGTCTTGCCAGAGGCATGTTTACACTACAGTGTAAACAACCAACCTTTCCTAGGCCAACCCCTACCCCACCTTCCCTCCACAACAGATTTATACACTCTCGAAGTCATTTTATTTTGTTTCAACCTCTCTACATATCCAAACCATCTCAACCCCTCTTCAGCCCTCTGGATAATAGTTTTGGCAATCCCACACCTCCTCCTAATCTCCAAACTACGGATTCTCTGCATCATATTCACACCACACATTGCCCTCAGGCATGACATCTCCACTCCCTCCAGCCTTCTCCTTGTTGCAACATTCACAACCCATGCCTCACAACCATACAAGAGCATTGGTATAACTATACTCTCAAACATTCCCCTCCTTGCTTTCATGGATAAAGTTCTTTGTCTCCACAGACTCCTCAGTGCACCACTCACCTTTTTTTTTCTCATTAATTCTATGATTCACCTCATCCTTCACAGATCCATCTGCTGACACAGCCACTCTCAAATATCTGAACACATTCACCTCCTCCATACTCTCTCCCTCCAATCTGATATACAATCTTCTGTTACCTAATTTTTTGTTATCCTCATCACCTTACTCTTTCCTATATTCACTTTTAATTTCCTTCTTTTATATACCCTACCAAACTCATCAACCAACCTCTGCAACTTCTCTTCAGAATCCCCAAAAAGCACAGTGTCATCAGCAAAGAGCAACTGTGACAATTCCTACTTTGTGTTAGATTCTTTATCTTTTAACCCCACACCTCTTGCCAATACCCAAGCATTCACTTCTCTTACAACTCCATCTATAAATATACTGAACAACCATGGTGACATCACACATCCCTGTCTAAGGCCTACTTTTACTGGGAAATAATCTTCCCCTCGCCTACATACTCTAACCTGAGCCTCACTATCCTCGTAAAAACTTTTCACAGCTTTCAGTAACCTACCTCCTATGCCATACATTTGCAACATCTGCGACACTACCCCCCTATCCACCCTATCATGTGCCTTTTCCAAATCCATAAATGCCACAAATACCGCTTTACCCATATTGAAATACTGTTCACCTATATGTTTCACTGCAAACAATTAGTCTGCACACCCCCCTACCCTTCCTAAAGCCTCCCTGTTCATCTGCTATCCTGCTCTCAGTCTGACTCTTAATTCTTTCAATAATAACTCTACGATACACTTTACCAGGTATACTCAACAGACTTTTTTTTCTTTCTTTCAACACACCGGCCGTATCCCACCGAGGCGGGGTGGCCCAAAAGGAAAAACGAAAGTTTCTCCTTTTACATTTAGTAATATATACAGGAGAAGGGGTTACTAGCCCCTTGCTCCCGGCATTTTAGTCGCCTCCTACAACACGCATGGCTTACGGAGGAAGAATTCTGTTCCACTTCCCCATGGAGGTAAGAGGAAATAAACAAGAACTAGTAAGAAAATAGAAGAAAACCCAAGGGGGTATGTGTATATATATGCTTGTACATGTATGTGTAGTGTGACCTAAGTGTAAGTAGATGTAGCAAGATGTACCTGAAACCTTGCATGTTTATGAGACAGAAAAATGGACACCAGCAATCCTACCATCATGTAAAACAATTACATGCTTTCGTTTTACACTCACTTGGCAGGACGGTAGTACCTCCCTGGGCAGTTGCTGTCTACCAACCTACTACCTAGAACTCAACAGACTTATTCCCCTATAATTTTTTACACTCTCTTTTGTCCCCTTTGCCTTTATACAAAGGAACTATGCATGCTGTCTGCAGATATTATATTCAATAATTAATTAATCAAGCATTCTACTTAATGAAGGACCTAAATTGGCTAACAGAGATGGGATTCACAAATAAAAAAAGAAAAGAAATATTGACTAACCTCCTGATCTTCTGGAAGAGAAACGACGAGACCAGAAAAAAGTTTGGGGTTAGTAGTGGCTCTTGGGCCATGACCAAGAACCCCATAATCAGGAGTACCCCAAGTATAGAGAGCACCACCAATTATTACAGCAGTGTGACCGTAACCACAGCTTAGCACCTGCCGACGCACCTTTTCAACTGGAACTGGCACAGTCTGCAAGGTTTAAAAGAGAAACTTGCAATTAATCTTGAATACCGAGAGAAAACTATAATTTACAACATAAAAGTATGCATTTAAAGCTACAGGAGGGCCCTGCATATTTTGCACCTCTTTTTTGGTGTTCCACCTTTTCAATGACTTTCAACTGAGCCATTTTTCATTAAGTTCAGTGCTTTTACTGCTTTTCTGCCATTTTCACACAGCAGTTGCATAAGGGAAAAGCAACTGGCATCATATTTTAAGTATTGTATGTACTAGGTTGTCCTTGAAAAGGTTGGAGGGAGGGGGTAAAGGAGGCTTTGTGGGCAAGTGGCTTGGACTTCCAACAAGCGTGCATGAGCATGTTAGATAGGAGTGAATGGAGAAGAGTGGTTTTAGGGACTTGACGAGCTGTTGGAGCGTGAGCAGGGTAATATTTAGTGAAAGGATTCAGGGAAACCGGTTATTTTTATACAGCCGGATTTGAGTTCTGGAAATGGGAAGTGCAGTGCCTGCACTTTAAAGGAGGGGTTTGGGATATTGGCAGTTTGGAGGGATGTGTAATAGGACAGTATATATATAATTGGGGCCCTGATACTATACATTCTATATGAAGTTTATTATTTCAGGTCACTTTTTATATTTTATCTTTACATGTGCTTCTAAACTGTTGTATCTGGGTGCCTCTGCAAAAACAGTGATTATGTATGAATGAAGTGAAAGTGTTGAATGATGATGAAAGTATTTTAGTTTTGGGGATTTTCTTTCTTTTTGGGTCACCCTGCCTAGGTGGGAGACGGCCGACTTGTTGAAAAAAAAAAATGTACTGTGTATTTATTTTACTTTATCTTTTTTTATGCCTAGCTGTATTGAGCACTTAATATATGACAGTGTAAACATCAGGTTTTTTAGACACATTTAATAATGAAAAAGCTCTTTTCCAAGTGTTGATAATTTTGGCTTACTACTTGAGGTCAGAAACCTAAGGGCCAAACAAATGAGGCCTTTCTGTATTATCTTACCTCATTCCTGCATTTTAAGTCATCTATCCTTTTGTGTCCCTGAGTTCTGAGGTACTCACATCATTCCTCGCCTATTCCTCCATCTGAAACACACTACCTTTTTTTATTCCTATATTTTACGATGATGTATTATTTGATTTCATTCCTCCAGCCAGGGTGTGGTTCATACATCAGTCTGTGTGCGGCCAGCAGAAACAGCCTGGTTGATCAGACCTTGATCCACCGCGAGGCCTGGTCTCAGACCGAGCCACGGGGGCATTGACCCCTGAAACTCTCTTCAAGTATACTCCATGTGAAGCCATTTATCCTTTCTTAATCCTCCATATGAAGATATTTATCTTATTCCTTCATTTGCAGCATTCCTTTTATTTTATTTCTCTATTTGAAGCGCTCTTCTTTTTCTTACATTTGAATCTATTATCTTTTCTTATTACTGCATTTAAAGGTACCTGTCTCTGCTTATTCCTGCATTTGAAGGTATCTTTCTTTTTTTTATTCTATCTTTGAAGCCTTCTATATTTTCTTAAATCTATCTTTTTTTTTAAATTTCCCTACTTAAAAGTTAAAAACAAAAAATTATCTAGTATTAAACACCTTTGAAGGAACATAAAGGCTCTACTAATTTTTTTTTTTTTTTTGGTCATAGTTAAAACAGCTACCACTTGCTTGCGGACAACTAGGCAAAAAAAAAAAAATAAATAAATAAATAAATAAAAAAAAAGTGCAAAAGTAGAGGTAATAAGTAATGACATGATAGACAGAAAATGCAGCAGGAAAAATTAAAGTTTCTCCTTTTACATTTAGTAATATACAGTGGAACCCCGGTTTGCGATACTAATCCGTTCCTGAGAGCTCATCGTAAACCAAAAGTATCAGAAAGCGAATCAATTTTTCCCATAAGAAATAATGGAAATCAAATTAATCCGTGCAAGACACCCAAAAGTATGAAAAAAAAACTTTTACCACATGAAATATTAAGTTTAATGCAATAGAATATTAATTACAATAACAATAACAATAAATAACGAAAGAATAATTGACACCTACCTTTAATGAAGATCTGGTGATGATTGATGGGATGGGAGGAGGGGAGTGTGTGGATGGTGTTAGCATTTAGAAGGGGAATCCCCCTCCATTAGGACTTGAGGTAGCAAGTCCTTCTCCGGGGTTACTTCCCTTCATCTTTTAATGCCACTAGGACCAGCTTGAGAGTCACTGGACTTCTGTCGCACAACATAACTGGCAGCCTCACCATGCCTAATCACACTATATATACCACCACGATTCTTAAATCTTTCAAACCAACCTTTGCTGGCCTTAAATTCACTCACATCACCACTAGTTGCAGGCAATTTTTTTACCAAATCGTCATGCAACTGCCTAGCCTTTGAGAGATGCTATCTCCTGCTGTTTTACATTTATCCACACCAATAACAGTCTCTCAACATTTTCTAACACTTGCGGTCGCTGTTTTGTAATCACAGTTGCACCTTTTGCAAGAACAGCTTCCTTGATTGCCGTTTTCTTGCTCACTATAGTAGAGATGTTGATTGGGGTTTACTATACAACCTGACCAGCTCCAATACACGCACTCCACTTTCGTACTTTGCAATTATCTCTTTCTTCATTTCAACAGTCATTAGCACCCTTGGTCTCAAAGGGTTGGCACTGGGAGCTTTCTTGGGGCCCATGGTGACTTATTTTGCAAAAACAGGCACCAAAAACAGTGATAATATGGATAATATGGAATGTACCGAATGTATCCTTAGATGCACGCACACTGGCTGGCTTGTAAACACTGGCACACACGGGGCAGTTCAGGCCACACATGGACACGTCTCGTATGAACCACATCGCATACCGGGTTTTGTATCGGAAAGCGAGGCAAATTTTCTGCGATATAATGCATCGGTTACCGGATTTATCGGATACCGATAGCATCGCGAACCGGGGGTCCACTGAATACAGGAGAAGGGGTTACTAGCCTCTTGCTCCTGGCATTTTAGTCGCCTCTTACAACACGCATGGCTTATGGAGGAAGAATTCTGATCCACTTCCCCATGGAGATAAGTGGAAATAGACAAGAACAAGAACTAGAAAGAAAATAAAAGAAAACTCAGAGGGGTGTATATGCATGTATATGCTTGTACATGTATGTGTAGTGTGACCTAAGTGTAAGTAGAAGTAGCAAGACGTACCTGAAATCTGGCATGCTTATGAAACAGAAAAAAGGACATCAGCAATCCTACCATCATGTAAAACAATTACAGGCTTTCATTTTACACTCACTTGACAGGACAGTAGTACCTCCCTGGGCGGTTGCTGTCTACCAACCTACTACCTATAAAATGCAGCAATACAGTACCTTAATTAATTAATTAATGACATTTTGTCCACGTTCCTGGAGCAAGTGAAATATTGCTAATTAATAAAGGTTCCATACTGCTTGTACCTCAAAGTGCTCCTTGACTCATAATGGGGTTATATTCCAATGAACCCATTTTAAGTTGAAAAATATGTCAAATATTTTTTTTTAATATGTCGTCCATTTCCCACTGAGGCAGGGTGACCCAAAAATGTAAAAAACTTTCATCATCATTCAACACTTTCACCATCATTAATACATAATCAATGTCTTTGCAGGGGTGCTCAGATACGGCATTTTAGATGTCACTCCGAACAACCAATATCCCAAACCCCCTTCTTTAAAGTGCAGGCATTGTACTTTCCATCTCCAGGACTCAAGTCTGATTAACCGGTTTCCCTGAATCCCTTCACAAAATATTACCCTGCTCACACTCCAACAACTTGTCAGGTCCCAAAAACCATTCATCTCAATTCACTCCTATCTTACACACTCATGCATGCTTGCTGGAAGTCCAAGCCCCTCACACACAAAACCTCCTTTACCCCCTCCTTCCAACCTTTCCTAGGACGACTCCTACCCCGCCTTCCTTCCACTACAGATTTATATGCTCTCCAAGTCATTTTACTTTGTTCCACCCTCTCTAAATGACCAAACCGAATATGAATACGTATGTGATATATGAATAAGTAAATAAATAACTACTGCCACTAAATAAGTAAATAAACAAATAATTGCTGTAACTAACTAAATACCAGCATTCTTTTTTTTTTTTTGGGGGGGGGGAGCACTACCCCACCTTGGTGGAAGATGGCCAGCATGTTAAAAAAAAAAAAAGTTTCAACTATCAATAAATGATGACTGCTGAATGTGCATTGCTATCGCACTACTGTAAAGTCAAAATATCATAAGTCAAACTACTATAAAGTGAAAAACAGGTGGCATGTACCCATCACAATCAGCATATAGAGAATCATGAAAGTTTTTAAATTTCAACAATGGATTACAAGGAAAGATTCACTGTGATGGAGTGAGAGAATGCTACAGAAACTCTGTTTAAAATTATTGGTACCGAACACATCACAGAACCCCAGAGCCCCTACGGGCCTACAGCACATCCCTGGGAAATTATAATGCTCAGAATAATGCAGTTTCTGAATCCACTTGTATCTCTAAGAAAACTTTCTCCATACATACAAGCTGGCCCTAACTTTCTCCATACATACAAGCTGGCCCTAACTTTCTCCATACATACAAGCTGGCCCTGTTTTACAGTGTACTTCATTTTACGGTGTTTCACTAATGCAGCAGTTTTCAATTATACCCATTCTTCATGTATTCAGATTTTCCACAATAAACATTTTTTTTTTTTTTCAACAAGTCGGCCGTCTCCCACCGAGGCAGGGTGACCCAAAAAAGAAAGAAAATCCCCAAAAAGAAAATACTTTCATCATCATTCAACACTTTCACCACACTCACACATTATCACTGTTTTTGCAGAGGTGCTCAGAATACAACAGTCTAGAAGCATACACGTATAAAGATACACAACATATCCCTCCAAACTGCTAATATCCCAAACCCCTCCTTTAAAGTGCAGGCATTGTACTTCCCATTTCCAGGACTCA